TTCTCGGTTTACCATACACCGTATTATGAAACGTTGAGAAACGGTCGGATACTGAATTTTTCGACCGTATGATGACCGTGATTAGACGTTTACCGTACGTCGAAATACGGTTATAATACGATGCATGGTAAAATGTCAACTTACGACAATTTACGATCGTAAACGGCGTGAAAGATAGCATAGCATGTCGTATACAGCAGTTTACGACCGTATCGGGTCGTCGTAAAGCCTGTCATGGAACAACCTGGATAGGATTTCAAATGAAACAAAGAGAAAGACAAGGTGTACCCCATAACCAAACACGGTCGAAAAAAGCATAAGATTCATACAATGGAAGTCTTACTTTGCTCAACTCAGTTGACTGCTACAAAAATGGGACAGACAAAATATGACAAGTTGATGCTGCGTTTTGCACCTTTTATACAATATTGCTGTCTGCTAGTGGTTATTTTTTCATCCCACACAAGTATTTTTCTATTCATAAAAGAGAAACGTAAACGAATGACATGCGCAATTCGCTACTTTCAATGGTGCATGTAAATAAACCTTCAAGACCAGCAGTGTGCTGCGCAAAAGAAAAAACAATTCATTCCACCGTTTTATTTTCATTGTGAATGTTTATCGAAGAAAAAACATCCATGAAAAAGAAAAAATTACTGTTTTTCATCATAGTGATGGGTTTATACCCACAAACATAATAACGAATAGTATGAAATAATGCACACAATAGGCCAAATTTCACTCGAAATGATTGCTCATAATGCACGTTGCGATTTAATGAGTAGTTGATATTCCTTAGACTGTAGAGTCTATGGTGTAAGGTGTGTGCGTGTATAAAACTACCATGATGTCGACATTACATCTCAGGAATGAGAATCTGCATATGGGTACGGGTGTGGATGTGAGTGGGGGGCGCAAGGTGTGACTGTGAGTAAGGCTATGGTACGGGATGAGGAGTGTGGGTGTGGATGGGTATGGGTATTAGCATGCGTGTCCGTCTGGATGTCCCTGTGGATGTGGGATGTCGAGGTGCGATCTGGGTGTGGATGTTGGAAGACTATACCAATACCCGTACCCTCACCTATCCGCCACCCACACCCATCTGGACAAATGATATTAGGAGTAATTCCAAATAAAGCACCTTCAACAGAAATAGTTTTATTCAATCCAAGCAAAGCATGATGTGAAGTAATATATGCTGATCTATATTCACTAGCAATCAAGCTATGTTCATTTGCCTAAAATTAAACAATTATTGAATAATTACAAATTATCATTGAAATTGTTTTATTACGAAAACATTTTCACCAACTTTTTTTTTAATATGAACTGTAAGCATCTTTTATCTGTTCTAAAAAGAGTGCATTATGGACACATAGAAAATCTTGTAAAGGATTTTTAGCAACATAATTCTATATGTCTTCGAGCTTTTTAGTAATATATCTTCTATTAAATTTGAATAGATAAATTATATAGAAAGTAAAACTTTTTCCAGACACCTCAAGTCTATTTTTTTCCTCCTTCCTTTTATGGGTACCTTAACCTTTTCTCAACTGAAAAGTATTAAATTTTTCATTTTTGTTTTTTTTCTGCTCTATATACGTCTCAAAGGAATGCTATGTTGTCTGTCGAACGGCACTCTGGTCGACAGACTTTTCGTCGAAGTAACTTTGTCGAAATTTTTTTGTAGAAAAGCATTTCGTCGAAAGTGGATTATTTTTTTCTTATTTATCTCGCCGTCAGGAGACGAGTTCAAAAGTATCTCCTAATTAACTTTGTCCCTTTGGCGATGGTGGAAGAATTTCAGGGCACTATTGAATAGAATTACATACTTTTCATCGAAAAGTACTTCAAGGCAAGGTTTGTAATCCCCGAGACAATTCCGGATCCTTCAATTCTTCTACAGAACTGTTCAGACTTAAGAGGACAGTGAATTTTCTTTCACACTCACGTTTGTAGTGCCCTCACCCTCACATTTGAAGTGTCTTGCATGGCTGTTGCCCTCACAGTCGTGCTCACTCTCACTCACACTTGCCTTCACGTCATGCTCACCCTCACATTTGGAGTACGCCTACATGATCCTCACCCTCATGCTCACCTCACCTTTACATTTGGAGTACTCTCCATAGCCAAGAAAATACTTTCGACGAAAAACAGATATCTATCTGAGTTTATTGATGAAGTGCTTTGTCGACGAAATGTTTTTCGACGAAGTGTCGCGTCGACGAAACGCTTTTCGACGAAGTGCCGTGTCGACGAAAAGTTTTCGACAATAATTTTTCGACCAACTGCCTTTCGACAAAAATTTTTCGACGAATAACATGATTACCGTCTCAAAGTATCCTTTCCTTGCTGAAAAACATCAAACTTTACAGGTCATTTCATTGTTTTTGAATAATGAGTTTTTTGACAAAAGAAGTTAAGAATAGTCTGCGTTTCTCAACCACAGCACATCCGATCGAGTTGAAGCTTTCTTCTACTTATACTAGAAGGTGTTCTAGAGTACTTACTTTCTTTTGTATCAAAATATGATGTACCGTTTGTTTTAACCAGAGTTTAGAAAAACAGCTACAGCTAAAGAAAACAAACAAAAACATGCATTTCTGGAGGTATGTTCAGTATTTTGATGTTTTTATTTGCATGGAAGACAATAAAAAGAAACCACAAAAAAAAGTAAACACCCCAAACAATGTCTAGTACCTCAAAAAAAAAACTTCGACTCTATCAAACGTATTGCAGCTGAGAAAATGGGGCAACTTTGTAACACTAGTATTTCCTAGAAAGAAACATCGGAGAATTTTGAGTCTATGACAACCCTAAAAGTTTCAAAGTTTTCTGATGAGTTGTTCTCCAAAAATGCTAGATAACGTAAAAAGAATTAATAGAAAGTTTCAGGTCATTCCAGTCCCGGATCCGGATCCACAATTCCCTAGATTGGAAAGTGAATAACAAATAACTGTACGTTGGCTTTTTTTTCTGATAGTAGCCAATAAATAACTAAAACCTTGCTCCTCCAATTGTTCAGGTACACAGATGATGCAAGATATTGGTGAAAAAAACTACGGTCTGCACTCGACCTTGCCCAAGTCCAGAAGTTTAGCTTTTCTCGGGTCCCGATTCACAAAAACGTCGGCTTGTAGCTCGCTAGGTGTTAATCCCTTGTATTAATCTGTATACTTACAATATTAATAATTCTACCAAAATGTTATCGTTTCATATAAGGGCAAAGAGTTTTAACTAAAGCAGAATTTAATCTAAGATTATGCTCGATAATTTCTCTTCACTTTTGCGTTGGAAATTCATCAATAGAAGCTCTACAATGTCGTTTACATTCAATATCAATAATAAGAATATTATTATACTGAAAATAATTTAATATTTGTTCAACTAATTTAGGTATATCGATTTCATTTTGAATAGTTTGTGTTATATTTTCATCAATATGATTTCCATTCAAAACAATATCACAACCTAGTTTAGCAAATTTACGTACAATATTCAATCCAAAACCATTTAAACTATTTATAATAAATGCAGTAAATCCTTTCATGGTAATAACAACAACAAAAAAAACAAGAAGTCGAGATAAGTAATTCTCTGTATCTATTTATACTGGAAAGATAATAAAAGAAAAAGAGACCTTGATTATATACAAATGTTCTAACTCATAAATAATTGACGTAGATAACCGCATTTGACGAAATCACAAAATTCTAAATAAAAAAAATATACCGTACATGTTTTTTCCTACATTTTTGGAATATTAATACCTTGAAATGAAATATGTTTATTTCGATTACCAAGCATTTGACGAAGATTTTCTTGTAATAAATTTTGTTTTTTGGAATTAAAACCTTGAAGTAATAAAAAAAGTGCTTCAAATTCATCTTGTTCAATTGTACCATTAGAATTGAGATCAAATAAATGATCAAAAGTTGAACGTAATACAAAACTACTAAATTCAGCAGCATCATTAGCAAATATAGGTGTTATTAAATCAGTAAATTGTTCAAAATTTAGATTTAATAATTCTAAAATTAATTAATTTAATTTATTTAATAATATTATTCTTTACTAACTTTTTGAATGCATATGTTTTTGTACTTCATTAAATTGTTTTCCATTAATTCGTAATCGATAACTTTGACGTGGATTTACTTGAAACCAATGAAATTCAACTAAATCAATTTCTTATATTGATTATTTAAATAAATATCTATTTCAAACCTTCAACAATTCGATTTCTAATTGTTTTAACATATTTTGAATATTTATCTACTAATTCAGTTTTAACTATGGACGTCATTGTTTTTTTGGTTCAACAATGATTTCGAAACTCATTTTTCTTAGAACAATATCGATCAAAACTTGATTTTTTCTTTTATTATATTGCACGCTAAAAAAATTTTTCTCTCTCTCTTTCTGTGTATGTGCTCGATTAGACTATCGGCATTATTGAGACTTTGATATAAATACGTTATACGAGTGTAAAGAAAAGTGAAAATAAGAAAAAAAAAATAATGCTAACGGTTCAAGTAAAATATTGATCTAATATAATTGTGATGAGTAAATTACAGAGAGAGAAAGAAACAAAAACGTATTCTTATATTAATTTAATACAATGAATAGTTTCGTAATGTTTCATTGAGAAATTAAGGCTAATTAGAGGGTGTGGGAGTAGACAAGCCAAATATCCACACTGACACACACTAATCAAAAACGTTTGTCTAGCGGTTCTATTCATGGTAACGTTCGTTTTATGAGTGTCGGAGCGTATGATTACTGATTAGCCTATTTCATTCTACTCTAACGCAAGGTTTCTTCAGTAAAATTCTGAAATTATTCATAAAAAAATGCGTCACTATGAAAATAATAAGTGCATCAGCTGCGTTAAATCATTGTCTTTTATTATCCATTTGTTTTATCACTAACCATAGAGTCTTTAATAAATAACGAATAGTTTGCTCTTCTTCATTATTACTTACAATAGTTAAATCTACTAATAACCGAAATTGATAAAGATCTATTATATCTCTAATCAATTAATGAAAGACTTCGGGCGTCTTGATTAGATATGGGCAAGATGGATTAAAAACGACCGATTTCGCTCAGGTTTAGTCTTGATCAACTGATAGATAAACGGTATATTTCATATTGTTTATTGTCGAATATACGTCACAGAAATTTTTTCAAAGTAGGTGACAGCTGCAATTAGTGACATAACAGATGATCGGTAAATTTTTAGACAAGGTGTTTGTTTACTTTTGACCAGCTAAAAAGTATTTTCGACAAGTCAAAGGATATGTGTTTGTACTCTGTCCGACTATGGACGTAGAAATTTTATTCAAAAGTAGTGAATATTCATTTTTGAACAATCGACAACTGTTCTGTGTTGAATGGAACTCTTGAAAAGAAAACACTTGGCTAAAAGCTACAGCTTAGTTCAATATCATATTTTGTGGAGAAGTGTTCGCTCTATAAAACGGCCGTTTTCGACAGTTTTTAACATGTTCGAATCAAATCTTGAATATGTTGACAAAGATATTTTGTTGAATAAAAAAAAATGAAATCATTATATATTGTAATAAAAAATGTTAGATCAATAAAAAAAACGAAACAAAATGTGTCACACGGCAAACTTAAACAAAATCATGCAATAACAACGAAACAAATTTAATCAATCAATCATCATCATCATCACTTCCATTTTTCATACTTTGACGAATTGATGATCGAAGAAATTCATCAGCTGCATCATTCACTCCATAAGTTTTCAGATCAGTTGGTTTTTCTAATTTTTCGTTTGTTTCAATTGCACCAAATTCATATAATTTATATTCTAAATGTTCAAAACGACAATTCATACCACCAAATGCAAATGGACCAATAAGTGAATGTTTAAGTTCACCATTATTATAAATAAATATTGTTGGTAAATTTTTATCTGGATAATTTGGTATACAAACAGTTGATATACTTTTAACAAATTTTGTTTGAGGATATTTTAAAGCAAGTGAACGAAGATGATCACTAATTAATGAACATATTGGAACTCTAAAAACTAGATCAAATTAATAAAACTTAATCGTTTCTATATTATTTACCCTGATTTATAAAGATAAAGTACAACCCATATATCAGTACCAGCTTCATTAACTTCTTTAACATAATCAACTGCTGAAATTTCAATAACTTCTCCAAATCGAGAACGAGATGCTTTTTCTTGTAATTCTAATAATCGTTTTCGTCTAAACAAAAAAACAAAATAATAAATTTAGACAAAACATAACACAAAAAAAATGTATACCTATATTCTTGTAAAACACGTTCATCATCTTCATCTTCAAGTTCATCTAATTCATCTAATGTTTTCTTATCTAATTGTTCAGCTATAATGAAAAATAAAATTATGATTCTAACAAAACATTATCTTATTTTATTTACCTCGACTTATTTCTAATCGTTCTTCTTCAGTTTTTATTTCTTCTTTTGGGTCAATTATATTAAAACGACGTAATTGATCATTCCATTGTGTATCAGCATTTGGATCCTAAAATAAATAAATATAATTTATATTCTATTATCAACAATAATAATCAATTTTAGAAACACACGCATACAAAACTCTATTCTGATTTACTAAAAATTAATCATGCATACCTCGAGTAATTCATTTATACTCATTCTTTCACTTACGATGAATCTTATTTTCATCAATGATATATATGGATCATTTCAGGCAAAACAAGATATACCCACTTTTCATCTGATTTTGATTCTTTGCAAGGATTAGCGTTATGAATAAGTTCTATTAGCAGAGACATATGTAGATATATTGACTTTTTCAATTGACCATTAATTAAAAAGTAATTAGCGAATAACTCTGCAATCATACAAGGAAAAAATTCGAAAACTTCACGATAAGACTCTATGATAAGATTTTCAGCAAAATCGGATCCCAACAAACTTCCGTTTCGAATTGGCTTTGAACTTCTCATTTGGTCATCAGAGCAGGTTTTTTTTTGTACTCCATCACGTTCCTAACGAAAAGTAAATCGACTTTTTTTTTCAAAAATCTAGATATGATCAGAAAAAACTTTGTATAGAGACTTTGTAGTCTCAAGTTGCAGTTTTTTTTCCAGTAAAATATCTGAGGTGAAAGTCGATGTCGTTTTTGACGCTAGGTTTTTTACTGATAACTTCTTTAAACAAAAGTCTCCAACGCTGATTTTTTAGAGTAACTTAACATGGCTGCAGCTTATAAAAATTAGCTCTAGGAAAGTTCATTATCTCGAGATACACGTGTTCTAGTTTTACGAAGTCACCTCGATAATGAATTATTTAGTCCACATATATCAAGTTAATATGAGAATTCAATTGAATTTGGAATCCACAAATTAGTTTTGATAAATTGTCTTAGAAAAAAAATTTATAATAGAAGTAACACTATAAACAAGGCGAATTAATTGATTTAGACAAAAGTTCACAAAATAAAATCATATTGAACACTACTACAAGTAAAATTTTTGAATGTTTTCGCTGGATTCTTTTTTCTTTTACCCTATCACCAAAAAATCTGATCCAAAATTTACTAAGAACGATTATGCATCATATACTATCAATTATAGTATTTAGACAACAAATTTAAACTTTCAATTCCATTAGTACTTATAATCATTTACAATGCTCTAATATCATAACTGGAAGACACACATATGTGGTGCAATGTACGTATGTCTTTAAAAATCGCTCACATCAATCCTCTGCTCGTCTGAATAAATACTTTAGACAAAAACCAACATTTTTTTAAAAATTTCCATCAATCATTCAGTGTTCCAAAAATAAAATATATAATATTTTACTGAGCAAAATAAATGTAGTCAACTTATTATTGTTTATATATAGAATAACAATCTAAACACATCTCTATTATCACATAGACTTTGAAATACGATTAAATCATATTAACAGTAAACAATTTTTTTGTTCTCTCATATGAATGAAACTATGTTTAATTATTAATGTTGATACAATATCGTTAGAATGTTTATTTATATCTGGACGTGAGCAGTCGACCTGATATCCCAAGATACAGCATAGGAATTGATATTATTCCAGGAAGGCGTATATAATGAATTTCATACCAAATGAAAGCTTGTTAAAAATGGGATTTATTGGTACTAAATAGTAAGAATTTTGTAAACTTTGTAATGTCAAACTTAAGAAGTTTTGAGAAATTTTATACATAAAAATGTTAAAAAATTCACATGTTCTATATGGAGGAAAGACACTAGATTTTCTCATAAAATTAACTTTTTTTCATTATTTCCACTATCTTACATGTTTCAAAATATATTCAATAGATGTAGCGTGGAAAACTGAATCGAATAAGTGTATTTGGAAACGTGTGAGGTAGTAGGAATAATGAAAATTAGCTAATTTCATGGAAGAATGTAGTGTCTTCCTTCCATATAGAAAATGTGAATTTTTTAACATCTTTATGTATAAAATTTCTTAAGTTTGACATTACAAAGTTTACAAAATTCTTACTATTTAGTACCAATAAATCCCATTTTTAACGAGCTTTCATTTGGTATAAAATTCATTATATACTCCTTCCTGGAATAATATCAATTCCTATTCTGTATCTTGGAATATCAGGTCGACTGCTCACGTCCATCTATATCAAGAGGCATCTTTATAGCATAATTATCTGAAATAATAGATTATATATGTTATGATAAATAGGCCAAACATTACAAAGATATAAACATATGAAAGATACGAGCTTTAATGAATAGAATATGTTACATACTTGCATAATTGCTTTGAGATAGTGATTTTGATAGTAAAAATTTATTGAATGATGAAAGATGAATGGATGAAAATGTTCGTATGTATGTGAGTATTAGTGACCATATTTGGAAACATTTCCGATGTCCAATAAAAACCTAGTTGAAAAACTTTTTTAATGTGTTTATTTTGTAGAATAATTTAGTTTTTAAAATTAAAGAGGAAATATTACTATTTGAAATTCTTGTTTTACAGATGAAAAATATCATAATAATTATTATAGATGTCGCCGTAAACAAAACTAACATAGATTTCCTATACTGAATGAATAGCATACCGATGCTATATTCACTCATGTTGATTTATGTTCCATCTTTTCCCATATACAAGATGAAGATAGGCAGTTGTACATAAGTCTCTCGTAATTGTATTTGATTCATTGATAAATGATCTCAATATTGGGTTTACTGTCAAAAAGCCGTGTCGATGCCACCGCTTTTGTTTGTCACACTG